TGACACAATATATATATATTTTTTTTTTTCTTTTTTTTTTTATTGTTTGAGAACCAGATACTATATGCATGCTAGGCACTTAAAATTTAGGGGTGACACGAATGTCTTGTCTCACGAATGTCTTGTCTCAGTATCTTTCTTTAGGCATTTTCAATTTAACTCCATATTCTAGTTTAAAATGGAGAAAAAATGATAATAAAATAAAAAATGCTTTAATCTTATTCCATTTCTTTTTTCATAATAAAATTTATTTTATAAATGAATTTTTGGTTTGTCCATATTACTCTATTATAAAATTAGAAATATAGTGAAATTAGAATATTTTTACTTAATTTTAAAATATAATATAGTTTTACATTGGAGATGCTTTCGAGACCTTGTTTCAATGGTATGTCAGATCTTGAGCATAGACCAATCCCTAAAATATGTTCAACTAAAAGTTTTACTGTGGCTAACTTCGATGAGTATTGAGTTGAGAAACCATTTTTTTCTTACAACTTTCTTTTTTTGGTCAACTTACAACCTATATTAAAAGCTATCATTCTGAGTGGAAACATGTTCTACTATTAAACACCAGTTCTTGATGGTCCCACCTGACTATTCTATTCCTCTTCTCAACCACAAATTTTATAATTTTCTTATCTAATATTTATCTTCCTTTTCTAGAAGATACAATAATATTTTTATTAGTTTTGATCAAAAGATACAATAATATTTTTATTAGTTTTGATCAAAAGGTACAATAATATTTTTATTATTTTTGATCAAAAGATACAATAATATTGCTATAAGTATTGTTCTTAGCAATGAAAACGAAGATGTAAAAACTCGTTATTTGAATATTGAACCGACTGGTTGATTTAATTTAGCATAATATTTGATCATTTAGTTTTTGTTTTAATGTGTTTAAAGGTAAAACGTTTGAAACCATAGACCCAAGGAACGGTGAAGTGATCGCTAAAATAGCAGCAGGAGATAAAGAAGACGTTGACTTGGCCGTTAACGCTGCACGCCACGCGTTCGATCATGGCCCTTGGCCTCGCATGACTGGCTTCGTACGTTCCTATCTTTTTCTCCTCATGTTTTAATTGTTTGCACCTACCCATTTTTTATTTGTTTAGCAAAATATTGATAAATATTATATAAATCAAAAATAATTGATATTTGTTGATTGATGTGGTCCCATTCGTAGTGGTCACTGATAAATATGTATTATTAGGGATTGTATTTTAGCAGTTTAATATTCTTACTGATGATTGAATAATATAATAACCTTTTGATGTTAAAAAAAAAAAAAAATTCTCCTGATTTATATATTTTTATTGTATAGAGAACGAGCGAAATTTGACTTTTTTTCTGTCAATGACTTATTTTCATGTTATTGTCACAAAGTCACTTAGAACATCTCCAAAAAAATATTATATTTTAAAATTTGTTTGAAGATTGTAGGTGTTATACTCCAAAAACAAAACTTCAAATTTAACTTTAAAACTATTTGTATTTTATACTATGGTCCTTATATTTGTCATAACTAGTTTAAATTCATAAAACTTTTATAAATAACCAGCACATATATAAAAATATTACAGCAATATTAAATGGTAAAATATTACATTAAAATATAAATTTTTAATAAAAATATATAATTAAATGTTAAACTATAAATAAAATATCACCTTAAGTTTTGTAATATTGTTGTTGTCTAGTTCTAATTTTAACTATTTTTAATCTTATCTTTTTTTTTGTGAAAACAATATGTGTAAAATTTAAATTTATAAAAAAAAAAACTTGAAATATTAACGAGATATGAATTTCCAAGGGTTAAGAGGATAAAAACATAAAATATACAAGACTTATAAATATAATGTATAATTGTAAGGACCAAAATGCAAACAAAAATATGAAACTTCAAATTTGAAGTTTTGAGTAGTGACACTCTATATTTGAAGTTTCACTACTCAAAACTTCAAATTTGAAGTTTTAGAGTTCCTTTTTGGAGAACTAAAAACTTCCTATTTAAAGTGATAGAGTGTCTTTTGAAGATGCTCTTACATGTTATTAGGAAAAACGTTTTACCCATATTCCAAACCTTATCTAAGTTTACTTTTATTTTATAATTACTTGATTGTAAAATATCACCCAATCAAACAAATAGTTTGTAACAAATAGTTTGTATACATACAAGTTTTTTTGTTTTATTTGTAATAACCTGATTTTGATGATGTTGTTTATAATTGCATGATTGTGTGATATTTTGCATTAGTATAGACAGTTGTTCTCACATATCCAAATTTGGTGGTTTTATTCGGATCAGGAGAGAGCAAGGATTATCAACAAATATACAGACTTAATAGAGCAAAACATTGAAGAATTGGCTGCTCTTGATGCGGTTGACGGTGGAAAATTGTTCCAAATGGGAAAAATAGGTGACATTCCGGCAGCAGCGGGACATTTCCGGTACTATGCGGGTGCAGCAGATAAAATACACGGCGAGACACTGAGAATGACACGTCCGTCTTTGTTCGGATACACACTTAAAGAACCTATTGGAGTGGTTGGTCACATCATCCCTTGGAATTTTCCAAGCATTATGTTTGCCATGAAAGTGGCTCCGGCTTTAGCAGCTGGTTGCACTATGGTGGTCAAGCCAGCAGAGCAGACTCCACTCTCTGCTTTGTTCTATGCTCATCTCTCGAAAGAAGTAAGTCGATCTATCTTATTTTAATTTATCAAGTGTGTCCTTTACATTATTTTTTAAAAACACAAACATTTTCTAAATAATAGTGTATCATATAATACATCGTTTAGTTTGTTTGTATATTGTGGTTACGTATACGTTTACTCTTAATACTATATTTTGCTTTAAGACATTTAGAGTTGTGGATTAATTTGGAAGAATATAAACATAAACAAAGAAACAATCCATATAAAACACTAAAATTATGGTATCATTTTAAACACACAAGACATAATTGTAACATTGTTCATAGTAATACCAAACGTGTAGGCAATCAAAAAATTTGAAGCTTAACCATATTAACATATTTTTGGTTGAAAATCACAGGCGGGATTTCCTGATGGCGTGATTAACGTGGTGACTGGATTTGGATCAACTGCTGGAGCTGCCATTGCGTCCCATATGGACATTGACAAAGTAAATAACTATTTTCTTATGAGAGATGTTAGTTGTAAGTGAATTCAATAAGTAACGTCAGTTGGATGTGAATTCATGAATCTTCTTTTGTTTTTTTTTTGTGCTCAGGTTAGCTTCACGGGATCAACTGACGTTGGGAGGAAGATAATGCAAGCCGCAGCCACCAGCAATCTAAAGAAAGTGTCCCTTGAATTAGGCGGAAAATCGCCTCTTCTCATATTCGATGACGCGGATGTTAATAAAGCCGCAGAACTTGCACTACTAGGTTGCTTCTACAACAAGGTATATATCATAGAGACCAAATACCGATTAATATTTTATAATATGGTGATATTTTTATGTAAAACATATGTGTGCATGTGCAGGGTGAGATTTGTGTGGCGAGCTCTCGTGTGTTTATCCAAGAAGGTATATACGATAAGGTTGTAGAAAAGATGTTGGAGAAGGCTAAAGAATGGACCGTTGGTGACCCTTTTGATTCCTCTTCTAGACAAGGACCTCAAGTACAAGAGACTACTCAATCATACTCTGATTAACTTCGATTATTGTAGATTTAAGTAGATTAAACGGTTGATTATTTGGGTGTCTTCAGGTGGATAAAAAACAATATGAGAAGGTTCTCTCTTACATTGAGCATGGCAAAAACGAAGGAGCTACGTTATTAACTGGAGGGAACACCATTGGAGACAAAGGATACTACATCGAACCAACTATATTCGCAGATGTCACGGTAACTTTACACATTTCTTGATTCGTATTTTAATCTACATGATCGACCAATAATCTTGGTTTTGATCCCTTTGGACTTGGGACCAGGACCAGAAATGTAGCCTAGATCCCCTATTACACAAGTTTGTTTTGAATAATGGGTTTTGAATTTTGTTGATTACAGGAAGATATGAAGATATACAAAGAAGAAATATTTGGACCAGTCATGTCTTTGATGAAATTCAAGTAAAAAGCAAACAAAGACGCTCGTTTCATTTTCTCATTCTTTGATCACATACCATAACACACTAAATATCTCTCTATATATCTGCTTCCACAGGACTATAGAAGAAGGAATCAAATGCGCAAACAACACGAAATACGGTCTAGCAGCTGGAATAGTGAGCCAGAACATAGACGTGATCAACACGGTTTCAAGATCAATCAAAGCTGGAGTCATTTGGGTTAACTGCTACTTCGCATTTGACCTCGACTCGCCTTACGGTGGTTACAAGATGAGTGGCAATTGTCGTGAAAGCGGCATGGACGCTCTCGATAGCTATCTACAAGTCAAATCCATTGCCATGCCTCTTCACAACTCCCCTTGGATGTAGCAAAAGTTGTCCATAACAAATACAAACGTAATCAATAATAAAACAATTTGTACTTGTTTTTTTTCAATACGTTTTTGTTCTTGTCCATCTACGAAATCAATAAGAAATTTCTTTTTTTCTTTTGGTACACTAGGCTCAGACTGTAGTTAAGGACTCTTATAGCTATTTCAGATATATACATTTCTAATGTCTATTTACATCTCTTCACTCCACCACCATCCGTATCCTCTGTTAGATGCTATTAAATGTGTAAATGATAACTATACGAGTTTGGTTTGGTATATGGTTTGACATGTACTTACTACTTAACTTTAAATTACTAATCTGTTACCAGAACCAAGATATGACTAGAGAATACTGAACCTCGAACAATACTTATTGTAAGAGCCACTAAATGGCCTGAGGTCATTCACATCATAGCTGCCTCGATGTCCTAAGGTCTTGTGCAATCGCTGCACATCTCTGTGGCGGAAGCATGGACATGTCTATTATCTTTCCTGAATCAGAAAATACAAATCAGACTCAGGAAACAAATGGGCCAATACATACTTAGAATCCAAAGATTGTCACTATTCCAACAATTTGCACTTGCAGCAGATGGTCAAATAGCCTGTTCCAAATTATTTACTATTTGGTAAGGCTGGAATAAAGCAGCATTCATCATCGGTCTTTTTCACTTGCTGGACCAAAACATGGGTAGAAAATCAACTTTTCTTCGTGCAACATGTCTTGACGAGGAAATATAACAATGCATGGATTTGAGGCAAGTTGTAACCACCAAACACAAGTTACATCAAAATAAAAACAGAACATTTCTCGAATCTAATAAAACAAACAAACAAACAAACCTAGCCATTAGATTATTCAATCACTGAGATTCACATCAGAATCATTCTCCATTCCCTCATCTTCACTCTCACCACCATCATGATGATGATGCTGTTCCTCCTCTTCTTCTTCACGTAGCCTAGCGATCTCAGTCTGAGCTCTCTCCACAATCTGTTTCTTCTGAAACTCCAAATCTCTCTGAAAATCAGATCTCATCTTCTCCAACTCCTTCATCTGCTCTTTCTTACTCTTCTCCATCTTCTCATAAACCTTCCCAAACCTCTCAACTGAATCCGCCAACAGCTTATACGACGCCGCATCATCCCCCTTCTTCCTCCTCTCATACTCAACCTCCTCCTCATCATCATCATCCTCTTCTGAGTCACCAGGACTATCCATCATCTCATCAAACCCATTAGACTTATCCAAATAAACCTTAGTGTTCATAAACACAAACTCTCCCGAATCAACACCACAAGCTAAACCAAACTCCGGTTTAGCCGCTGAAGAACCCAAAAACAACATATCCAACTTGTTGAAAAACGACCACTTGCTCGTCGAACCCAAACCAGACTTCTCAACCTTGGCCCTCTCTTTCTTATACTTCCTCTTCAAGTTATCAACCATTCTCCGACACTCAGTCTCTGATCTCTCCGACCGAAGCTCCTCGCTGACTTTCTCCGCGACTTCGTTCCAGTCTTCGTTCCTCAAACTCCTCCGACCCAATTGCAAGAACCTGTCTCCCCACACTTCCAACAACACGAACGCCTCTTGCTCAACATTCGTGTCGCTAGGACCGGAGGAGAATCCGTACCCAGAAACCGGTTTGGTCGGTTTAAGCCTCTTCTGAAACCTCTCGTTCCCACGATGGTACTCTTCGATCTCGTCTTCTTCGTGGTGGTAATACGCGTGGCGTTTGGGAATGGGTCGGGTATACATAGGATGGGTTTGTCGACTCAGAGGGTGAAACTTCTTTGGGTATCCGGTTTCGTCTTCATTATCATCCATCTAGGGCTTTGAATTCAGAAGAAAGGTACCTTGTTTTAGCTTAAGATGTGAGAGATGTTAGAATTTGAGGTTGACAATTGCCGTCTAGGGTTAACATGATGAAGCCAGCGACGGAGTTTTGTCGTGGCGTTTTGTGAGACCATCCATCAGGTCGAATTGGCCCATATATGTTTTGGACAGATTTAATGGGCCAATAAGGCCTATCTATTCTTTGTAATTATGTTTAGCCTATCAAAGAAGTATTCAGTTCAGTTGATTCATGTTATATCTCTGTAATTTGTCAGGTAGCGGTTAATATCGTTTATATCCTTAATGAATAAGTAAAATTTTTAATATAATTAAACATAAATAAAAACGAATTTCAATGATCTAAGATTTATCTTTATCTAAAACTATTTTATATTGGGTTATAAAGTCTTTATTAACCTTGAAATTAATTATATTAGTTAATATATAATTAATTATAAATTAAAAACGAATTTCATTTATTTGTTAATTATCCTTATTTTAATTCTTTTATATTATGGGCTAAAGTCTTTATTTTGAAAAATAATTATATTTGTTAACATATAATTAATTCTAAATTAAAAAATGAATCTCATGAATTTGATAATTATCTTTACCTAACTTTTTTATATTGTGTTATAAAGTCTTTATTAACGTTGAAAACTAATTCTATTTGTTAATATATAGTTAATTATGAAAAATCAATTCGCAAAGAATTTATGTATAGATAATTTATATTGTGCTATCCAAAACATTATTAAAGATAATTTTTTATACTTTTTTGTTATGTCTAAAAATGATATTAATTTATTACTAAATATTTTAAGTTCATGAGTATTTTCAAATATAGATTGTGTAATGAAAATTATTTATATGATGATGAAAAATTTTATATATAGAAAGACTCTTGCGCCCTAGCCTCCCTTTCCCCAGCTGGATTTGTTTAGTTTATTATTAAATATTTTGAGTCTATGAACTATAATTTATTATAATTTACATAAATTGATTATATATTTATTTATAGATATTAGTAAATTTATTAAGCCCGCAAGTGCGGGCAAAACACCTAGTATCTCTGTAATTTGTCAGGTCATATTCCAGATTCAAAAATGAATTGGTGAGTGTCAACAAGCGAAGTTCCAACTTGGCCAAATCCTCTTTTTCTTTCAATATTCTGTACCTCAGATAAATTTGATTTTCTTTTTGATTTCTTGGAATCGTCACCATTAGGTGTTTATATTACACTTCTAAACAATCTATTATAAAATTATGTTTTCTCTCCTCTATGAGAGTGCCACGTAAATTGCATATCAAAAGAATTGGCTTCTCCCAAAATGCAACGTATTATTTATTCAGAGGTATTAGAGGGTTTAGTTGTTACGGACGAATCGTATGCACTAACCCTTTTGCCACTGACTCATCTACCTACGAGGACGACGACAAGATTTGTCAGAATCCTAGAGTGAAACCAAACCGTTTTCCAAGGCGACGAGGAAAGCTAGATACGAGGCGGAGAAAGGTGAGGGTAAGAGAAAGGTTGACGTCCTGGTGTCAGTGAATCCCAGAAAGTACAGAGGCGTGAGGCAGAAACGGTGGGGTCCTTCACGGTGGAGAGAAGGAATTCTTCGTCCGCACTCGGATTTGGTTAGGGACTTTTGCTACGGCGGAGGAAGCTTGCGTTACTTACGATTGAGCCGCGATTTGTCTCAAGGATCACAACGCGCAGATGAATTCTCCTCCAATCCTCCTTCGCCGTTTATCGATCTAAAAACGGTTTCCAGCTGCGATTCGGGGAATCAGAACCTCTGTTCTTCGATTCAAGTCAAAGAGGAGACATAGTATCAGACCGACCTAAAGAGGGAACTAATCGATCTAGCGGCGGAGGTGACACTACAAGAAAACTCGTCCATTACTAGGACGGGTTTTCCTCGTTAGTTCCTAGTAAATGGCCTTTTACTAGGAAGTTACGAGGAAACGCGTTTCCTCGAAACACGTTCATCGTAAAGCCATTTTCCTCGTAAGGTCGTAGCAAATTTACGAGGAAAGCTTTCCTCGTAAAGGCGTGGTAATATTTTCCTCGTAAGGTCCTCGTAAGCTTTCCTCGTAAGCTCGTAGTAAACATTTCCTCGTAAGGTCGTAGTGATACATTACGAGGAAATTACTAGAACTGTTTACGAGGATATTACTTGGAATATATTACGAGGATTTTGCTTGGAAATGTTTTTTTCCTATTAAAAAAATAATTACAAATAATTTATTTATTTAAAAAAAAAATCAAATTATAAATAAAAATAAAAAAACAAAATATTTATAAATAACTAGATAATATACAGTAAGTTTTTAAATTCATAATATACAAATAAAAATAAAAGAAACTACGGATGTTGGTCGTGAAATTGCTGACTGAACAAAACGTCGTCCTGGCTCGGCAAATCCTCTCCATAGTTGGTTGTCGGCTGTGACTGTGATGGCGGAGGATGTTAGGTACTTGGAATCCCTGCACGTTCCCGTCTCTGACGCAACATCTCCTGCATTTGCGGGTTTCCAACCGCCATAATGTCGAGGATATCGGTGAGAGAAGTGACATTCTCGGTGAGCGAAGTCACTTGAGACTGCGTCGCCTGCAACTCCGAGCGCAGCTGATCATTGACATCGTGTTGCTCCTGATGATAAGACGATGTCGCTGCAGGGACATCGTTAACCAAGCCAATCCCGATGATACGCCCCTTTTTCCTAGGGGA